CAGTGAGAAAGTAACATGTATTTTATTACAATTTAACTCTTCAGATTTTGTGTGTTAATTTTTTTTGCGAATTAATTCGAAATTTAGTAATTTGTCCATGTTTATAACTAATATCCGGCTAACAATTGAGATTACTCTTTAAATATATTATACTATATGGCTACTGATTTTATTAATCTAATAATAATAATATTCAGTTTTCTAACAAAGTTGATTTGCTGTACTTATATTTTATCTGGCTACTGATCTTCTTTTCTATAATTTGTTAAAAAGATACAACCAACTTATTATAGATTATCCAGTTAATTAAAATTTGTATCCGGTTAACAATTAAAATTACTCTTTGAACATGTTTAACTATCCAGATACTGATTCTATTATCCGGATCCGTCGCTGCTATCATCAGACTTGTCGTTGCTTCCAACATATAAAGAGCTGAGAAACGTATTTAGGAGCAAAAATGTCCTAAACGCTACATAAATAGTGTCATAGTTTCTCTGTTATTTACCCAATTACCATATTATTCTTGTATATAGAGTGCAAATACTCTTTATTTTATATAACCACCACTTCATGAACCATCTACTATATTAAAATAATATGGAGAAATGAAGATGAAGTTAAGAGAAAATATGATTAACACAAAACACAGAACAGACATTTGATGATTAACTTTATAACCTGGATTTTCCTCTATTCATAAATCAGATTTTTTTTGGGTACATAAGTGCTAAATAATCCTATGGAGAAATAGCCAAACAAACAGATCAAAAATGGCTACAACACTTATGAACATTTTAATTTAAACAACAAAAAAAGAAGTCACTTCATCTTCTCTTTTAGCCTCTTCTTTATTCTTCATCCAATAATCAGAGATGTAATGTCATCAAATAATCTTGCCTTAAGGAGGGTTTATCTCAAAACCCAATCTCTGCTTCTATATTATATACACTGTCCTCCCCTCAAGACCGCGCGCAAAAACCTTCATCAGTTAGCCTTCTAGCATCGTCTGTAACCGGGCTCGGGCTTCATCAGAAACACAGAACCGTATTCTTCTCCACTGAGGAGGAGCTGCTGGTGATGTGAAGCAGATTACCACCACTGTAACATTATCCGATGATTCACGCCTTAAGGCTTCCCTTCCAAGTTCCATTGCACATCTTCTCGGGTCACCGTGTCTCCTGAGTCCTTGCCTGGCGAATGTAACAGCGTACTGGCTTGTCATCACGTCCCATACACCGTCACATCCCATAATCAAGAACTCGTCTTCCTCGGTTAGAATCATCTGTTGAATGTCCGGGTCTGAGATCAGAGGTGACAAAGATCGGCCGAGGGGTGACATCCTCTTTATCGACCAATCCCCAAGAGCTCTAGTTACAGCGAGGTCACCGTAGAGATACTCTCCTTCAAAGTACCCTCCTAAATCCTCTACCCGTCTCCGTTCTGGCTCAAATGTAGATTTGTGATCAAATGACATATCAACAGCCTTTCCTTTCCTACAGAGCACTGCACGGCAATCACCCGCGTTAGCTACCATTAAGTGCCGTCCGATTACAAGAGCGGTCAAGGCAGTTGTTCCACACGAACCGCTAACAATGCTTTCATCTTCCATGGCAAGATCAGCTAACATATAAGCTTTCCGGTGAGAATTCTCCAGTTCTTTCAAGTAGAAGGTGTTCACAATGGAGGGCGATTCTCGAAAAACAGCATCTTGAAAGAACAACCTGGTTGCATTCTCTTTTATATACTGCGACGCCTCCGATCCACCATGGCCATCAAAAACACCGTAGAAAGCGATGGGAACGGGAAATCTGTAGAAAGAAGAACCAAGATAAGCTGAAAGGTCGTCAATGCATATGTGTTCATCTTCCATGTACTCCCTGTAGTCACCCTTATCCGCATAACTCCCAGAACTTATTTTGGGGACAAACTCAGTGTCAGGCTCTTCATTAGCAGTTGCAGAACAACTCTTGACCTGTTCTGGGAAAAAGGGTAACATTCTTGTTAAGTATTTAGTACTTCTTGTACTCCATA